TTCCTATCTTAGTTTCTTTTGGAATGAGACGAATATTTTTAACAGTACATCTGTCTCTTCTTCCTCTGTCATTATTAGCTTTAATTATTCTTATAGTTGTTGTCATACACACTGCAGCATGTCTCCTTATTAGACACTAGTGAGAATAGTTCACTGTGGAATATTTAATTCCATTAACATTATTATTATTTTATAGAATCATTATCATTTATGGTTTGTACATGTGTTACAGATCCCTAAGACCTCTCCCAGTTTTGATATTCTGCAAGGTTGCTTTATGAGGCTCAGCATAAAGTTGTACTTATGGCTATGATTTATTACAGGGAACAAAAATAATCCTTTAATTGTAAGTTTCCTTTTAAATGCCAATAATGTTATTTTTGTCTAGACATTAAGATGAGTGATAAAAATAAGACCTTAAAATTCATTTTTCTATACATGGCTTACAATCTAATTTTAAAAGGATTATATCAATATTTTACAGTTTTTAGAAATTATTGCTTCATTGGTAAATGCATGTGTACTTATTGTTTGGTTATATAAGTTAAACTGTGTTCGTCACAGAATTAGTCACTGTGTTTTATTATTTCATAACATAAAATTCTATGCATCTTTATTCATTTTTTTCTCCTCTTGTTTTTTCCTATTAAATAATAGAAATTTTGCCCAGCTCTGACTTCTCTACTTTATATTAGAAATCATAGATTTTTTTTTATAAATCATATTTATAATGTAGTATTGTATATACTTTCTAAAACCATGTATTATCTGCTCTTTCCAAATCATTCATTAAATGAAGGTACTTGGCCTACGTTTATTTTCAAATTTTATACTTGTATGACATAACAGTGTATGCCACTACTGGTAAGTATGTACCTAGTCCCAATTAGAAATATTGGCAATATGGCCAGATAGTCATTAGAAAATAAATATCAGGGGGCTGGGGATTTAGCTCAGCGGCATAAGCGCCTGCCTTGCAAGCAGGCAGTCGTGAGTTCAATCCCCGGTACCGATAAAAAGGAAAAAGACCAAAAAAAAAGAAAAAGAAAAAGAAAATAAATACCAGATTATTGTGATCTTTCTGGGTTTTTGTTTGTTTGTTTTTGTCTTTGTTTTTGTTTTTGAAACTGGGTCTTGGTTTATAGTTCAAGGTGGCCTTCAACTCACTGTGTAGCCCAGACTGGATTCAAAACTCACGGTGATCTTTCTGCCTCAGCCTCTCAAGTGGTAGGGTTACCGACATGTCTCAGTATGCCTGACTTGGTCTTTTGATTACTTACATTCACATTAGATTTTTAGGAACAGCCTAAATTCTTTCAGGCCACTGAAGTGGTATTTAATGCAACAAGCTCTGTATTTCTGAAACTTTGTTTTTATGATTGAGTTTTGTTTTGTGCTTTGGTATGAGGCTTGAATTAAGGACCTTGCCCTTGCCAGGCGGGCAATGTTTTTGTTTTTTAATGGTGTTGCATTATTTAATAAATATATATCAGTAGTAGTCTTGTCATTGTCAGCCTTTAACATTATCCATTTTGTGCTGCTATAGCAATATACCACAGACTGGGTAATTTATAAAGAAGAGAAATTTATTTCCTGCTTCTGGAAATTTGCTTCTCCTGCTCAGTCCAAGATGGAAATACTGACAGATGAGGGCCTGGTATTTCTGCTTCCAAGATGGTGCCTTCAATGCTACTTTCCTGGAAGGGGTGGGATGTTGTTTTCTCATGTGGTAGAACGAAGAGGAGTGAACCCTCAGCCAAAACCCTTTTTATATCAGTGTTAATCCATTCTTGAGACTGTCAGTCCCTGCACACTTCTCATTTGCCTCCTGTCCCAACACTGTTGCTTTGAAGATTACTTTTTAACATGAGTTTTGGAAGGGATAAAAGCATTCAAACCATTGCAGACATAAATTTATTTCCTTATCAGGCATTGTGAAAGGTCTGAGTATTATTAGTCACCTTTCCTTTACTGGAACAGAATACTTGATGGTTGCAATTTAAAGTATAGGAAGTTTGTTTTTCTGATGGTTTCAGAGAATTTCATCCTTGGTTGGCTGTGGCTCCAAGACAAAATGAAGTGAAAAGGGCACGCTAGAAAGAAGTTGCTCATGCTGTGGTAACCAAGACGTATAGAAGACAGGAGCTGGGAGCAGGAATATACTTTAAGGTCACACCCCTCAGTGACCTGTACCCTCTGATCAGGCCCCAGCTCCTAATTGCACATTCAGTTATATAGAGAGAGCCTCCTGATCCATTTACCTTCAAAAGCCCTAGCTGGTTTCAAATGTTTAGAATGGATTTTTAAGAGATTTGAGACTAAAATTCTTCGAAGTGGAACATCATTGTGCATTGGACAGAAATACAGACCTTCTAAAAAGGAACCCAGAAGAAAGGGTCCACAGGAACTTTACTCGCCTCTAGACTAGAGGTCATTATCATAGATTAGAGGTCTCTAAATCAACTTTATTACACTTTTTTTTTTTTGGTGGGGCTGGGAATAGAACCCTGATGTTCACCATTCTAGGCACATACTGTCCCTCAAAACTACATCTCCATTCCCCCCATTGTTTATTTTTTTAAATGTATTTGTTTAATTTTGATTTTTGGTACATTTTAGATGTACATAATGATCATATTCATAAGAGGGAGTCTGTACCTGTACATGATACATCTCACTTCTTTTTTCCCGAATCCCTTCTCTTCTCTTCAACAAAATTCAAAGTTTTCTTCCCACTTACTTCATTACATCCTTTTTACTTTTCCCTTCTTTCCCCCTCCCACATTCCTTGTTTTCCTTCCTATTTCAATATCCTCTTCCTATTTCTCAGGATCTGTTATACGTTTTGGTCCTTATTTACCCTTTAAGTTTCTCACACCAGAGAAACAATATGATATTTAAACATGAGTATCCAACTTTTTTTGCTTAAAAGTATACACTGCTTTTTTTGCCTTTCCCTTCTCTCCTTCCTTCCTATTTCCTCTTTGTTTTCCATGATTTAATTGTTTCACAATACCTGTTACACATTTTGGTCATCATTTACCCTTTTGACTTCTGATACCAAAGAATGTGATATTTACACATATGTAACATTTATTTTACTTAACAGTATGCTCTTAAGATGTATCCATTTGCCTAGCAATGTCTCAAGTTTATTTTTCTTTGTGGCTGACTAGTACTCTATTGTATAAAAAAACCCCACAACTTTTATCTGTTCCTCAGTTGATGGGCATTTGGATGGTTTCCAAGATTTAGCTATTAAAAACAGTGGTTCTACAAACAGTGCACAGATTTCATTGTAGTATGATGTTTTTTACTCTTTTGAGAAGGTATCTAGAAGGGAATAGCTGGATCAAAAGGAAACTCCAATTCTAGTTTATTGAGGAACTTCAAAACTGATTTACACAATGGTTACACCAGTTTACACTCCCACCACCAGTGGAAAAAGGTTCTTGTTGCCCCACAGCTCCTCCAGCATTTGTTATTGATTGATTTCTTGATAGCCATTCCTTCTGGAGTGAAACAAAGTTGCCTGATGTCCTAATTTGAGTTTCAAATGACCAATGAATGTTGAACATTTTTTCATGTATTTGTTTGCTATTTCTACTTCTTCATCTTAGAAGTGTCTGTTATTTCAGATGCATATTTTTGGATTGGGTCTTTAAATTTGGGGGAGTCTGATTTTTTTTTTTTTTTTAGTTCTTTATATGTTCTAGATATTAGTCCTTTGCTATACAGATTTAATGTAGTACCAATTAAAATACCATTAACATACCTCACAGAACTAGAGAAAACATTCCTGAAATTTATTTAGGACGGAAAACCTAGAATGGCAAAAATAATTCTCAGCAGGAAAGGTAAGGCAGGGAGCATCGCAATCCCTGACCTAAAATTATATTTTAAAGCTACAGTGATTAAAAACAGCATGGTACTGGCAATAAAACAGATCTGAGGATGAATGGAACAGAAATAACTTGAAACACACTTAGCCCCCTTATCTTTGACAAAAGGGTCAAGTATGTTCACTGGAAGAAGGATAGCCTCCTCATTAAATATGCTTTCCGCATCCTGAAGACTAAAATTAGACCCATGTCTCTCACCATGCATTAAACTAAAATCAAAATGAATCAAAGAGCTAAATCTGCTTGAAGAGAGAATAGGTAAAACTCTTGAAGACATAGATGTAGGCAATAATTTCAGGAACAAAACCCCTATTGTACAGGAAATACACAAAGAATCAACAACTTGAATCTCATCCTATTGAAAAGCTTTGGCGCAACAGAAGAATTACCAATAGAGTATAACGAAAACCCATAAAGTTGGAAAACATTTTAGCCAGTTGTCCCTGCAGCCCTTCTTTAAGAAGGATCATTTCTTTCTGTGCTATTCACATGATGGACTTTCCTAAAATGGAGTCTTTGACCCTTATTTTTCCTTCCTTAATTGCTCTTAAACCTCTGTTGTAAATCTCTTTCTGTTTTTTAATGTCAAATTTCCTGTTAAGTGTATGTGCACTTAACTCTAAAGAATGCTTTTCTCTTGTGTTCCAAAACCACATTTCTAACTTACAGCTGAATACTTCCTTTTAGATTTCCTAATATCTTACATATCTTGTGGCTCTGCTTTGAAGTATTCACATAAAGGGCAGTATTAAGAGCATTACTTGTATTTTACAAAAGACAAAAAAAAGAAAGACATTCCATAAATTATTTTAATAAACCTTTGCAATCTTCTTTATAGGTGTTGTCTTCTCATATTCAGCTTCGGTCTGTAAAGTTCTCTCTACCCAGATGAAGGACTTGGAGGTTTTTGTCTTAGTCCTTCATATTCTTCCATGTCCTTACCCACTCCTCTTTCTACCTTTATCCACAATATTTGAATATTTGCAAAGCACAAATATTTAAATGCTATAACACGGAAAGAGTTTGTGTTTTTCATTATTTTTATTCACTCTACTTATGGAGTGAAAGCTAAACCTTTTGTTATTTTCTTCCTTACAGGTCTCTGTGCCTTGCGAAGAGTTCTGAGGAAACAGCCTAATCTCCCTGATAGCAGAGTGGCTGGGTTGGTGAAGATTACGTTGAATGATTTCTTGCAGGGAATGAATGACATCAGGCCCAGTGCTATGAGGGAGGTAGCAATTGATGTCCCAAATGTAAGTAATTTTTACCTTTATTAGACACACTATTTGAATTAAATTCTAGAAGGCACTGAGACTCCAGCAACACTGACGTCTGAGGGTAAACTCAAAAAGAAAAGAAGAAACCAATTTTTATTGAATATTTTATTGAGATCGTTTTAAAGTAGATGCAGTTATTAAAAGTAATCTAGAGAAGTCTCATATATACTTCACCTAGTTCCCTCCAGGGGCAACATTCTGTAAAACTATAGTATAATGCCACAATCATTGTACATTGTTACAGATCACTGATATTAGCTAATTAGGTTTCCCCATTTTTACTTATACCACTTGTATGTTTTATTTCTGTACAATTTTATCACATATATAAAGGTTTGTGTTCATCATTGTAAGACATTGAACATTTCTGCCTCTACAAATATCCCTTACATTGTCCTTTCATAACTTTACTTACCCTCATTCCTGGTTCCATTTCTAAAATATTGTTATTTGAGAATATATAAATGAAATCATATAATATATGATGTTTTGGGATTTTTTTCCCTCCTTGGCATAACAGCCTGTAGATTTATTCAAGTTCTTTGTATTACTAATTGATTCCTTTCTATTCCTGAGTGATTATCTTAATAAGCCTTGTGTCCCTGTAACAAAATATCTGAGACGATAAATTTAAAAAGGAAAGATTTATTTTGGCTCAGATTTAGAGCATTTAGTCCATAGTTGGTTGGCCCCTTCCTTTTAGGCTCCTGACCAGGCAATGTATGATGGTCAGATGTAGCTGACCTGATGGTAGGTTGGAAGCAGAAGTGAGAAAGTAGGACCAGAACTTCAGTCTTCTTGAGGGCATGCTCCTTGTGACTTTATAGCATTCACTAGGACCACATCTGAAAGTTTGCACTACCTTCCAAAAATGCCAAGCTGAGGACTATACCTTTACCATATAGACCTTTGAGTACAGTAAAGATCCAGACTATTGCAGTACTAGTCCAGGGCTGGGGATTTAGCTCAGTGGCATAAGCACCTGCCTTGCAAGCAGGCAGTCGTGAGTTGGATCCCCAGTACCGATAAAAAAGAAAAAAAAAAAAATGCAGTACTAGTCCATCATACATATATGTACTATAGTTTTTCATTTTCTTACGAATAACTAGAGTGTTTTTAGTTTTTAGCAATTATGAATGAGGCTACTGTGAATAGGTATTTAGTGTGTTTTTGTTTCTGTGAAGTATGTGACCTAGAGTAAAATTGCTGGGTTTTGTACAAACTTCTTGTAATAAGTTTAGTTTATAGGAAGGTATCAGCTAGTCTAATTTTATATTATTTTTAAATTATTTTTAAGTATATGTTTACAGTATATGAAGTTTACATTCACCTTAGAGAGGTACGTGGTATATCTGTGTTTTGGAGACAAGTTCTTGCTGTATGGTTTAGGCTGGACTTGAGTTCCTGTATAGCCCAGGCTGGCCTTGAATTTGTGAGAATCCTTTTGTCTCAGCTTCACAAGTGCTAGGATTACAGGTATGTGCCAACACACCCAGCTATGGTATCATGATTCTTCTTATTCTCCTTACCCTACTCTTTTACCTCCCTCTATCCATCTCTAGCTTCCTTTTCCCCATTTTCATTATTATTGTTACTATTATTAATATTTTAGTTCATATTTGCAACATATAATATTTACATTCACTGAGGTGTTTTGTACATGTAATGATGTGTTTTAAATCTTTTTATGTCTCTTTCACCTCCTCTTCCACCACTGGTCTCTTGGATATATTCCCATTTGCAAAAGATGTCTTTGATTGCTTGCATCAGGTTTTTACTTTGATTTTTATTTGTAGTTTGCGTTACTCAAATGAGAGAAACCATATAATATTTAAGCTTGTGTATCTGATTTATCTCACTTACCTTTGTTCCCCAGGTGTATCCATTTTCCTACAAATGTCTTGAGTTTATCCTTCTTTATAGCCAAGTTGTGTTCCATTATTTATAGATGAACATATAGGCTGCTTGTAAAACTTGAACTGGGGTGCTAAAAACATTGATATGCATATATCACTGCAATACAATGTCTTTAGCTTTTTGGGAAGACACATAGCAGTAAACAGCTAGCTCAAATGTAATTTCTTGTTTTAGTGTTTCACGGAATCTCCATCCTGATTTCCAGAGTGTCCTACTTTACATTTACATCAACGATGTAGAAAGGTACCTTTTCCCCACAGCCTCTTCAACATTTGTTATTATTTGGTTTCTTGATGATTGCCATTCTTTCAGGTATAAGATGAACATTCAGTGTTGTTTTTAATTTGCATTTTTCTAGTAACCAGCAGTGTTGAACATTCTTGTCATGTATTTATTGGCCATTTGTACTTTTTCTTCTGTGTCAGTGGCTCATATATTGATTGGGTGTTTTATTGGGGGCGTCTAATTTTTTTGAATCCTAAAAACATTCTAGATGTTAGTCTTAAGAGGAATAGCTGGCATCAAGCCTAGTTTTAAGACAGACAAAAAGTTTCCTACCTATAAACTAATGATGTCTGTTGTTTCCTTCAATTTTTAAAAATGTAAATCTACAAGGACAACAGAAATAACCTGTTAAATGTGTGTCATTTGTTATGTTCTCTTGACCCAAGTAGACCTGATATTCAGAAAAAAAATGATCTTACAGTTTTCATTGAATGTATTGGTATTTCTGGAAAAATGAACATTGAAACAAAACGTTGCCAATGTGTTTTACATGGTAGTGAGGTAGAAGGTGGACTGTTAAAATTGGCTTGCTCATACAAAGAATGTCTGTGTCTTAGTGTAGGATGGGGAAAACTTAAATTACTCTCTGTTAGTTGTTAGGAGAACTTGGATGGAAGAATGGAAGTTTTATAGAGTCACTTCCCTGAGACTATAAAATGCCCAGTTTTTTTATTCTGCTTGAAATACTTTCATTACTTGTGAAACTTTCTTTTATCCTATAGCTTTAGGGTAGCAAATAAATAAAAATGTATGTATTTATAGTAAGTAGTGCGATGTTTTGATACTTGTATACATTGTGAAGTGATTTCCACATTCTAGTTATTAGCTTGTCTGTCATCTCATAGGGTTTGTGTGTGTGTGTGTGTGTGTGTGTGTGTGTGTGTGTGTGTATGTAAGAACATTTAAGATCAGTTGCTTTAGCAGATATCATGCAATGCCATTTTAATTTTAGTTACCATCCTGTACATTAAATCTTTAGTGAGTATTTGTGATTCATGATTGAAATTTTGTATCCTTTTCTCTCCTTGCTGAGACAAAATCCCTGACACCTAAGATTAAAGGAGAAAGATTTATTTATTTCACAGTTTGTACAGTGTTTTGTCCATAATTGACTGGCTCTAAGGCAGGGTGATGCGGCAGAGTGGCAGCCATTCTTGCCAACAGAAGACTCCCAAAGCAACAAGAGGGAATGGGAGGGTAAGCCTCTTTCTGTCCCTTATATTGAATGCAGGCTACCTTCTGTTGGTTGGGTATAGCATTCATACCCTTAATCTCAGCATTGGACAGTGAATCAATCAGAAACTCTTTAAGATTCAGCAGCCCTTGAAAGACACACCCTTTGTGACTGCCTGAGGCTTTAGGGGGACACCCAGACACAAATTGTAGCAATCAGCATCTTGTTTGCTCCATCTCCTAGCTCCTATAATCATCGTTTTGTTCTCTGATTCTGTGATTTTTTTTTTTTTTCAGTTTCCATGCAGTATTTATGTTTCTGCGCCTTATTTATTTCACTTGGAATAATGTTCCCCAGATTCATCCATGATGTCCTAAAATGCAAGAGTTCCTTTTTTAAGGCTGAGGAGTATTCTACTGGTCCTATAAGCCATTTTCTTTATCTTTTCAGTCATTCACACACTTAGATTGATTCTATATTTTGGTTATTGAGAATGAACATGGGAGTTTGGATATTTCTTTGATGCACTATTTTTTTTCTCTTAGATATATACTCAGAAATGGGATTGCTCGATTTGTATGGTAAATCTACTTTTACTTTTTTTTCTGGAGCTTCCATTCTGTTTTTATAATGGCTGTATGCAGTTACATTCCCACCAATACTATACAAGGGTTCTCTTTTATATATGGTATAATTGCTCACTTTCATTTTTCTGCTATAATTCATTGATGAAATTGTCCTTTGCTTACTATGTTTTCTTGGTGCCTTTGTTGAAGATCAGTATTTATGGATTTATTACTTGGTTTTTTATTCTGTTCTATTAGTCTGTTATGTTTGCATCATATTGCTTTGATTTGTATAATTTTGTAGTATACTTTGATATCAAGTAGTGTAATGATGTTTATAGTTATGTTCTTTTTGCTCAAGGTTGCTTTGGCTTTGAAGAGACTTTTGTGTTTCCATATAAATTTTAAGTGTTTTTTGTTTTTGTTTGTTTGTTTCTAGGAAAAGTGTTAGGGGAATTTTGATATTGGAATTTTGGATAATATGGACATTTAAACTGTTTTAATTCTTCTAATCCATGAATGTGGGCTATCATTCCATTCACTTGTATCAACTTCAATTTCTTTTAGTAGTCTTATATAGTTTTCAGTGTTGAAATTTTTTACCTCCTTGGTTAAATTATTCCCAAATTTTTGTTTATTTTTGATACTGTTATAAATAGAATTGTTTTCTTGATTTTTCATAAAGTTTATTGTTTATGTAAATACTACTGGTTTTTGTCTGCTCACTTTATCATTTGTCACTTTACTGGGACTATTATTTCTATCAGATTTTAAAAGTATTTTTAGCGTAGTCTAAATTTTCTATATATAAAAGCTTACCATCTGCAAACAGTTTTGCTCCTTTCCAATTTCAGCACTTTTTATTATGTTTGCTTGTGTAATTTTAGTACTATATTGAATAAATGTGGTAATAGTATGCATCCTAGTCTTAGAGGAAAGGCTTTTAGCTTTCCCTCATTACTGTAGTGTTAGTTCTAGGCTTGTCATATAATGTCTTAATTCTGTAGTAGTAATTTTCTGTATTCTCAGTTCAT